TTCAGATGAAATTATTTGTCTGTTAAACATGTTGAGACTGAGATGTAGTAACAGCTGAGGCTGCTGTTTTTCCAGTCCTCAAACATGACTGGTTTGGTTGCCTCCCACACAGCAGGCAGTCCTGTGTTTTTGTTTTTGTTCATTTCATTTGATTGTTATTTCATCAGGCATTAATTACAAACCTACGTGTTTATACACATGAAGATCCTACATAGCTGATGTTCTGCTGCCCTACATGGATCCACCTGAGACAGTTTCTTTGGTTAAAATTTCATTGATTCAGTTAAGATCTGAGATGTAAGATTGTTTTAAAAACAAACCTCTTGCTTTTTTTCAGCAACAAGAAGAGCTTCTAAATTAGTTCTCCCTAAACTCTTAAACATTTGCTTCTATGGGTGATGATAAATAAAACGATCAAACATCAGACTTAAAGGGACAGCTCTTCCTGTTTTTGATACCAAAATATTTCCATATGTGATCTTTCCTTTACTATCTGACACAACATTCAGTTTTTTAATAATATAATTATCACTGTGTAACAAATGTATGTATTTTCTCCATAACTTTAACTTGCACGTTTCCAAGATGAGGCATTAGATTTCTCTTGTGATGCTAAACATACATTTTGTGTGAACACATCATAAGTTTTGACACCAGAGGCCAACAGGCTTCTGCTTTCGCTGTCTTGCATGTAAAATGTTATGTGTCAGAAAACTAATAGTATGTTTTACCTGAATTAACCGTCCCCATTGTGTAGCATGCAGTGGCACTATTATGCTGTGGGGATGCTACTGTCCCGTCAGTCATTATGGACAAAGTGAGAAGTTTAGAAAACTAGTTGAAAGAACTCCAACCTGGAAAGGACTGAGAAATGCAGTGTTATGTGCTGGTGAAGATTCTCAGTCATCGAGGTTATAGTCATTACAAAAAAGTAAAAAAATAACAATCCATTGGACTTTGTTTCCAAGTTTGGAGACGTTTCGCTTCCCATCCAGGAAGCTTTTTCGATTCAAAAGGTGAGAAACAGAAATGAGGCTTTATACAGAGCCTTGTTTTTGCGAAGTGAAACGGGTCCATTTCAGTTTGCAGGTATGTGGTATTGTAGGCAGTGGCGCAAAAAAGTCAGAAAATATTTTTCTAGTTGGCATCTTCTATATTTAACAGCATAAAATGATCAATAACAGAGTGACGGCACTGATTATGCGCCCCTCTGATCCTTCACCTTCCATCCTCAAGCGGAAGTGCACAGACTAAAATAAGCCATGATTGGTCCTTGGTATGCCTTTCCGGCTGTCTGTGTGGTCGTCCTTCTCGATTCGGTGCTGGGGCGCGCCATTTTTAAAAACCGAGGAACAACTACAATAGACAACCTACGCATCCTCCTTTGTCTGTTTGCAGAACCTTTTCCCCTTCAATGTCTAGCAACTCTACATCCATGTCTGTGAGCAAGATATCTTGCAGACGCACCATTGTTGTTTTGGAAGATAAACACTCCCGCCGGCGCTGTAGAAGTTCTTGTGACCATCCGCCAAAGTTCCGAGTTCTCGAATAGGCTCCCCCTTGCGCTTTGGTGGGAAGAATGAATACTGAACTTTTATAAAATTGTTTATTTTTTATTTATTTTTTTATTGTAAAGTGATCAAAGACGTCACTCATGAGAATCCAGAGTGGAATAAAGGTGCCAACCACTGGGAGCATGAACAAATAAAAATCAATGTAATGATATAAACTATAGTCAGTTAAATAACCTGCTGCTGTCATTTTGCAAACTCTATGATGTTGCTGCTATTTTCAAATATCCATTACTGTAAAAATGTCCATATATTGGTTATTTATTCTCCAGGTGCACAGTTTTATATTTTTAAAACACTTAACAGTACAGGATTTTATTGTTTATCTTTTATCTCTTCACCATTATGTTATTCTTATACATTTTTCTAAGGTCCATATTTGTGTGAAAAATTGGATTCAATAATCCTTTTGCTGCTGTAAATACCAGAATTTCCCCATTGTGGGACAATAAAGGGATTTTCTATTCTATTCTATTCTATAAAAGGGGTAGAAAGATATAAGTAAATCCAAACAATTTATGTATAACAAATTTTCTGCAATATATCTATTATTCAAAGACAAAAAATACTTAGTTAAGCAAATTGTGCAAAATAACAATTAAAAAATAAAAATCCTATCAGATTATAGTCCCCACACTGCAGAAATATTAGAATCTGTCCTTAAATTACAGCCAAACCCATTTACACAGTAACAGATAAAAACCTTTAGACAAATCAAAGATTTTCCGCCACATATCTGACTCAATAACAATTTAAAAAACTATTTTCATTAATTGAGTTTTTTTCAATAGACAACATTCAAGTAATATACCATGCCTCTGACAGCTGCATCTGCAGAGAGATCATTTAGCAAGCTGAAGCTCATCAAAATATACCTTTGCTCAAATATGAGCAACGATCACTTGTCCCAGTTAGCAGTGATTTCTATTGAAAACAGTGTGGCACAATCTATATCATTTGATGCTATACTTGACAAATGGGCAGTTTAAATGTCATAAATGTTAAAACTGCCCATTTGTCAAGTATAGCATCAA